GACCAACAACGATCATACAGCCGATACAGGCAACAAGGATCAGACGCAAATGGCTCCAAAAGGGAAAGGGAAAGGCGGTGGTAGGTTCATGTGGGATGTGAAGCTGAATCTGACAGAAAGCAGATGGAGGAGGTGCAGACAAGCTCAAGAGTGCGAACAGCATCAAAGTGAGTTTTCAGTTCCTCACAAGAGCGTGTCTGGATGTGAAATAAAAATTGGATGCGTGTACGAAACATTGAGTGTGGAGATGCACCGTAGCAGTGACAAGTTACACGCAAGTGGTCTCATAAGCCAGAATTCACATTCCATTCGAATAATGGATAACCTAGCTAGACGAGAAAGCTGATTTGCCCTAGGTTCGCCACATCCTGACAGAGAAGCAACGTTAGTGTGTTGGTTCACTCTCACATTCGCCTAAATGGTCGCAAAGAACCTGCGTTGACTGCAATCGAGCGTTTGAAAGCTGGCGAATCATTTGACAAAGTTGCAAGTGATGTTTCTGAAGACAAAGCCCGACAAGGGGGTAGCTTGGGATGGATGAACAGAGGGTACATCTTTACATCCTGAATCCTCGGTCGTACATGACACTGTGAAAGATCCATGGTCGGCGAATTTCAGGAAGCCGCTTTCGCTCTGCAACCGTCATCAGTGTCGAATCCTGTCTACACTAATCCTCCAATCAAAACTAAATTTGTTCGTCTTTCACTCCCTACGTAGCAGGTGGTTCGTTTAGTGCTTAAAACTCGGTAGGGGTATCATGTCATAATGGTATGCTTCCATTTTCTTGGACGACTTGACGGTTCGGTTCAAACTTCTGCAGGTTGAGGATCGCAAGTAAAAAGCAAGAGCTCCAAATTGTACGAAATATTATAGCGGAAGCAAATATTGGTTTAACCGATTTATGTCTTCTTTGCAAGTTGTCAGATTTCATAGAGAGTACAAGATGTCCTTCATCTCTGAGCACAGAATCATCAAATCCACTTGGTCACTTCCATGAACATTTGGGAAGAAGAGGACAGATCAGCAAGCCGTAATCAAACAATTTCATTGGTCTAAGAATAAGAGTGGGAATTCGAAACCGATGGAGGGCTAAACCTGAAACTAAGTGAACTTGAAGCACAGCAACATCTACTTTCCTCCCTCCTTTCCCACCCAGAATGTGGCTTGATCGATAATTGATTTGAAAGTAGGAAAGGTTGAAATCGGTGAACTTGAGTTGTTGTGAATAAAAACAGAAATGATTGCTACATCTCCTTCGAGACATGCTTGCTATATGCACGAGATTGAATCGGTTAGACTATCGGTCGGGGTAAGGGGGATAGGGGTGGATAAAGTTGATTTCAGGAAAAACGAAGCAAAAAAATGAAGCGAGCGATTGGGGAAAAGGATGACAGACCAGGAACGGATAGATTTAACGATGAGTAGGAGCTGAAACTGAAACAGAGCAGAGCGGGGAGGGACAAAGACCAAGACTGTTAATACATGCAACTTCCAAACTCTACATTCACTGAACTCCAAATGAGGAAAAATTGCAGTTATCGTAAGATCATGGTCCGACATCCATGCTGGTAGAATCCTTCTCTTCTTCGGCAGGAAGCCAAATTCGAACTGTATTGTCGTCTCCTGCGCTCGCCATCATCGCTCGATGAGCAGGGTTCCAATGAACCATGTTGACGCAACCCTTGGTGTGGCCCTTCAAGACCTGGATAGGTTCAGATTCGGAGCGATGCCAGGCGTAGATAAGACCGTCTTTCATCCTTAACATGAGCGACTTCCACATGAAGCGAGAAAGAGAATACATGCCTTCACTTCCGCTGACGATAAAATTCTGCGAGTCCCCCCCAAAGCACGACCTTATGACTTGTTTGAACTGCCGTTGACCCTTATACGTCTTGACAATCTTCCGCCGGTCCAAATCAAGGAGGTGGATCTCCTACAATTTTATGTAAGCGCTTGTTTAAATGAGCCAGAAGCGAAATTGACGCACGTCAGGAGCTTGATTGATGATGGCATACTTCGAGTCCTTGGAGATGTCCACACAAGTCATTTCGTTCTTCTGAACAAGAAATGGTCCTTCTTCCCGCATATTCTCCACATCGTAGAAGTGGATCCTCCGCTCTAGTCTCGTCACGCTAGTGCTCATCATCCTTCCATAAGCGACATCACTGCTATCTGAGCTAGACGAGCCCCCTCGACCAGCCCTGCCACCTACCCCTCCGTTGAGTTCTTCTAGCGGTATTTCTGCACGTCCAACGACCACGAGACGCTTGCCATCGGGTGAGATGCACATCTCGACAAGTCGAGTGGGAGAGACGGTCCACATATTAGTGACTTGTCCGGAGAGGTCCCAGAAGAGCACCTTCATGTCCATGCTGCAGGAAACGAAGGATTGACCGTCAGGGAGGAAACAGAGGGAGCCAATGGGATACGTGTGTTGGTCTATTCGGTTGAGAAGCTTTCCATCCTTTACCACAGTCCATCAATCACCATTCATCTATATAGAGAGGGGAATAGGATAGGGATGCATACCGATACCCGCCACATGCGAATGATCTCTTCACAACTCGTCAGGAGCAACGTATCGTCGGGGCTCCACGCCACCACCATGACATGGTATTCATGGTCGTCGAGGTCCCAAAGGATCCTCCAACTGTCTCCTGGCCGATCAGGGACCGCCCAAATAATCGCTCGATTGTCCCTTCCTGCGGTAACGAGCAGTCGACCGTCGTTACTGAACTTACAAAGCCAGACTTCGTCTCGATGGGCGCGAAGCGTATCTGCGTTCCGTATTGGGAACAGTGTTGAGGGACAGCGATGGTCGACCAGGAGGGAATGGTGTGGTGGCGAGGGAGTCGACCGAGGGAGATGATATAAGCATGCCTTCTCTTGGTGCTTTACGGCTTGTTGTAGAAGGGAGAGGAAACGCCGTGGTGGGAGCATGAGAGAAGGGGGTATGTTTGCTATCCAAGCGCTATAGATGAGATATAGTGTGGAGGAAGAGAGACTGCGGACCTTGTATTGATGTGAGAAGGTGCTGTCGTGAACTACCTGCCGCGCCATCCCAATGAGCCCGCTCCTTGATATCTTCGACAGGAGACATCATGAGGCTGTTTCTCGAGTAAACAAAGGCATTCCCTTATAAGTGGAGGCTAACCTGGAAAGAAAGGCGACTTTGTCGACGTTATGGTTAAGGGGTGTTATCTCGTTCCGAAGACACATAATAGCTTTCCGGTCGTCTCCCTTCTCTAATAACTCCAGGTATTTCTGCTGAGCTATGAGAAACTTGACATTCTATGGAAGAATGTGGTTAGCCCAGGGAGACATGAAGGATGACGTAGAACGTACTGTCAATGCTTCCTTCGAATTCAGGGGTAGAGCTCCGTCCGTGAGAATCTTTGAAATAGCTTCCCATTGGCCATTCAGAATGCCATGTTTGAAAGCAGTGATGGTGTCAGTTTCTAGACTGATCCCCGACTCTCTCTGTAGCGTTTCCGCTGTCTCCCTTTTCCCGAAACGACCCAATTCACATCTGAAATCAAGGAAACAAAGCTTAGTAGTACTCACGCATAACCAGCGTCCCTCAACATCTGCAAGCTAAGTCTCACGACCTCCTCTCTCTCGAACCCGCTTCCCTCCCAAATCTCCCTCTCCCTCTCTTTGCCCTTCCCATTCAGAGAGATGGAAAGTCCATTGGACGTTCCATTGGTGGCTGAGGCCGCCAAAGCTGGTTTGAGAGCGCTTCTTTCGGGCAGGGAATCTGATTTGGCTGAGGGAGACTTCATCGGGTTGTTGGCTTGGGAGGTGGAAGGAGGGATGGGAGCCGGTTGAGACCTGCGGGGACGTTTGAGGGGGGGCTCGTTGGAAGGCGAAGTCGACGATAACGAACGAGGTCGTCGGAGTGAGTTGGCTGGACGAGGATTCATGGTCAGCCAGTGCCTACCCTCGCTGTAAATGATAAGATGGATGCTCACAAGGGCGTTGATCCGACAGATTGATTGGTTTGGAGATGCTTTCTGAGACTTGGTTGTTACTTCATCGCTCTGCCACATTTCCGCCGATCACTCTCACTCATAACCACCACAACCAACAAACGAAACCATAGAGCTAGAAGGCCAAATGTAACGCAAATAGAGTGGAAGCGGGCAGCCTAGGTGGGTGCTCAAGTGTCGTGTTTTCACCAAAGAGGAGGAGTGTTTCATTCAGGGGTTACGTGCCGCTCAGGAGCTTCCACTAGCATATGGAGCTAGTGCTAGAGGTACTTCTGACTACTCATAAAATACAACACTCGTTGGTAGGACTTTCGTGTCGAAGTGAAAAAATAATGAGCTTTCTCTCCGCGAAGGAATACCCCTGTTCTCATGATGCATGCTCCTGACATTGCTAAACCCTCACCACTGTTAGCATCTGATGCTAGTTGCTGCTCGTACGTTGTAATGTGGATGAAATTATGGTCGACTGTAGTGGAACTATACCGCATCAGCGTTGTGATCCATGCGATGACTGAAGAAGTGTCTATTCCGCCTGTCAATGACAATGAGGCGGAGTTGTTATAAACCAATCTCAGGTTTATAGACATCAATATTGCGTACTGGGCATCGACTATTGGACAAATGAAGATATGTTTTTGCCCAAATACCGAAAAAAAAAACTGAGAGGGCTGAATGATGCAATACTCACTATGAGATCGATAACCAGATTGATAGGCACCATGATTACAATGCAGTCAGGATTGGAATCGTCTTCGGCCGTGTTCAATCGTCAATATTTGTTTGTCGCACTGAAATTGTGAGCATGAATGGTAAATGAGATGAATGAAGCCAGGAGATACCCACAGTAAACGGTACGGGTTCTGACGGTTGCTGCTATGCTGACCTGCTAGTACGTTCCACACGGTGGCAATAGATTTGTGGCCGGTTCCAGCTAAAGTTGTGCAAAGAATACACAAGACATGATCTAGTCTTGCTTGTATGCTTGTACTAAGGGTTTGAGACATAAGCGAGCCTTCTGTGATGTAGCGGTAGCATCTGAGATTCTGATTTCCAGACTTTCTCATCACCCCGGTTCGAATCCGGGCAGGAGGTCATCTTTTTGGTGCATGACCCAATATTTTTTTGTCGCTTTTCCTCCTGGTATCAGGTATTGCCGTTCCCCAACCACCCACATAACTTCATCGCATCCACGAAAGGTGCAGGCGATGGCACTACCAGAGTCGCTCTACGCGCTGTCCCAGTCACGGGCGAGTTCCCCTTCCACGTCAAAGAACGCCTCCGCGCGCTCGTCGCCCCATATTTCCACCGCTTCAGCCACCTCAGTCCTCCACTCGCTCGATCCAATCCTCAGCTCGTACTCCAAGCTCTACAACCAGCTCAGCAGCACAAGGTCGTCCCCTGACAGCTCTCCTAAGGCGGCGCATAGGGCTTTGAAGAGGGCAAAGGGGAAGGAGAAGGGGAAGGGGAAGGAGAGGGATGTTGGGAATACGAGCAGTTTCGCTAGTAATTCAGAGACGAACTATGGCACCGAGGGGCTTCTCTGACAGCGAGGAGGAGGAGGAGGATAAGGCGACTGCTGATGAGAAAGAGGCACCTGGTGCGTTGGACGAGGATGGGATCGAGGGAAAGTGGAAGTTCGAAGACCTTGCTGCTCCGCTCAACGCGAGCTTTGTCAAGTTCCTCAAGCCGCCCCAACCATTGTCACGCCCATAGAACCTTCCGTACAGGCTTCAGAACCCCTTCCAAGACGCCCGTCGCCCACTCCGACCCCTAAGAGACAGGAGCGCACGTCTGTTCATGAGCTCCTCGTGGAGAGGAAGGTGCCCGATCGAAAGCCCGGGTTGCAGTCGACTCTCGAAGGCATGGTCTCGGAGTTTCAGAACAGTATCTCCTCGTCACCTTACTCTTTCGGTGGCGGAGGAGAGAGAGAGGGCAGAGTAGGCAAGAAGGAGAAGGCACGAGGGTCCAAGCGATCGAGGTCTCCTCTCAAACTTCCTAGGGAAACCATCAAACGCAGCCACTCCCCAATTCCCCCTAGCCATCCAAGAACCTCCAGGGATGACGCTCAGCTACAAGCTCGTCGAGGGTCATCGATGGAGGTTCAGAAAGAGCCTTGCGTGGAAGCAAAGCAAGACAGCGCCAAGTCGCTCAGGCTCTATTTCAGGTTCTCTCTCATCCCTTCCACACTCATTCTCTGCTTCTCCCTCACCCTTCTCGTCTATCGTTTCTCTACCCTCCCAACATCTCCGCTCCCTCCAAGCTTTCTCGCATTCTGTTCTCTCTTTGTCTTCCTAATCTCTATCGTTCGACTCACTCCCGACTCCTACCTCATGGTTCCCTTCACCGATGAACGCGGTTATCGCTCCGCGAAGCTGGCAGATGATGGGAGCATGTTCAGCTTCGCCATGCCCATCCTACTCGCCGGAGGCTGCTACTGGGACACCTTCCGAGACCGCACTCCCCCTCTTCCAGGCCTATCCACACTTCCCGAAATCTGGCTCGCTCAAGGTTTCGCATCCACAACCCAGTCCGCTGAACCCCCCATCTCCTCCACCGACCCGCTCTTGGAAGGTAGAGCATCCTGTTAGGGATCATGTTCATTTCTCTCTCACTCTCGCCTTCCAAATCTCCCTCGCCTCCTTCTTCCTCCTCCCATCCGTCATCTCTCGAAGTAACACCCGGAGGTGGTTCGGCGCCAACACGCTCTCGATCGGCATCTCCGCCCTCGTAGGCGCATTGTTGTGGGCGATGGGCGAACACACATGGAGGCTGTTTCACGTTCGTCCGTGGGAAGCAGCCCTCAGCAGCTTCGTCTATCAGTCGAGCCATTATATGATCTCTCGATTAGCCCGACGGGGCTTCACTCTCGGCGAGCTGAGCATTGTGAGTGGGACCGGAAACGCTTTGTTCATCGAATTCATACGGCTTTCCATCTCTCGAGTGCGTCCCCCCCCCCTCCCCCAATCCGCAATAGCATAGACTGACGAAGAGCGATCACAAAGTGGTACTTCCCCCGAGGCCACCCTCACATCCCCTCCCTCTTCCGAAACCCGACCGCACTCGTATCCTTCCAACACATGCTCATCCCCGGCTCCTTCTTCATCGGCTTCTGTCTCGCGCCCATGCTCATCATGTCCCGACACTTGGGGCAACAGCGGTCGTACCGGCTGAAGAGCACGCCGTCGGAGAGGGAGAGGATGCGCAAGCTCTTCGCCGCCGGCGTCTACCTCGGCCTCGTCCTCATCGTCTTCCTCGTCCTCGGACTCTGGGAAGGCTGGATCCTCGGCCGTGGAATCTCCTTGCTCAGACCTTGGGCTTGGGTCCTCAAGTGGGTGTTTTTGGGGAGCGATGGGGCGGAGAGGGACGGGGAGAGGGGCGGGATTGGGTGGACGAGGTGGAAGAGGATCATGTTGGTTTATTATTGGGCTGCTGTCGTCATCCTCGCCGTCGGAGGGTGGCAGAGCAAGTTTGCGAAGATGAAGAAGATGCGGAGAGCCGGTGTGGGCGTCAATGCGTCGACGTCGAAGGATGGAGAGGGAAAGGACGCGCTCGAGAGGAGGGGTCATGTCAGCCTCAATCTCAGGAGAAAGTTCTTTCATGCTCTGGCTGTCGCTCTCTTTGCGCCAGGGATCGTGGTAGATGTGCGTCCCTCCCTCTTACAACATCAGACAAACTCATGTGCTTACTTGGAACAGCCCGCATTTACCTCCCTCGCCTTCTCCCTCGCCTTCTCCATCTTCACTTTCGCTGAGTATGCACGGTACTTCGCTCTATATCCGATAGGAGGAGCCATGCACGTTTTCTTCGCTGAGTTCGTGGACGCAAAGGATGCCGGACCAGTCATCATGAGCCATTTCTTCCTTCTCACAGGATGCGGGGGAGCGTTGTGGCTGGAAGGGAACGGGATAAAGCAGTACACTGGCTTATTAGTCCTCGGTGTCGGCGACGCTTTGGTACAATTTTCTACATTCTCTCCTCGTCTTGTGTATAAGGTATCTGACGAATGAATGATTAGGCGTCGATTGTAGGTCGCAAAATTGGTCGACTTCGTTGGCCTGGAACCTCAAAAACTGTCGAAGGCACCATCGCCTTCGTGCTCTCCGTTCATTTTGTTGCACTCTTAATTCGTTTTTTTGGATTGGTGGAATACTTTAGTGTACGCCTCCCCCTTTTGTACAAGTCTCATTCTGCGCACAGGCTGACGCGAACGGGATAGGCCACCAAGTATCTATTAGCAGTCGTTCTTGCGGGTCTCTTGGAGGCCACTTCAAATCAGAACGATAATATTGTCATTCCTATCTACATGTGGGCAACGTTGTCATTGTTAGATGTCTGAGCAGCATCACTATTGGTATATGTAACCACCACTGCTACATTACTTAGACTCAAACTGAATTTGCATACCCACTTCAAAATAATGATCGATAGAACAGAACAGAGCACGAACGTAGAACGTCATAATTGTTTATGAGTGCGAACATGGATACCCAACTCTTTCAATACTGGAATGTACTTGACTGCGCTGTGATCCGCGTCACCCCAAACCGTCGCGCTTATTTGAGATCCCAGAACTACTTCCTGCAGAAGTTTCCAATCGCCTCGTCGTTTTTGGTACGCTATCAAATGCAGAGCGTACGCCCAAAGCTCGGTTTTATTAGTCGTTGACTGAAACTCGAAATCTGTTGGCCTTTCGCTCTGTGGGAATGCAACTGCCCATGGATACTCGATAGTCACATCTGGTTCAGGAAACTGGACAAGTTGCTCCAGGACAAGTACCGTGGTCGTGGAGGCTGCGAATCGTTCGAGAATTACGTCGATTGGCAGAATATCGACGTAGAATCGTTGGATCTCGAAGAGCTCCAACCTGTTCAATTTCTTCAGGTTACCCAACACTGCCGGAGTGTCGTCTCGCTTGGTTTCGTCAGTGATGAGGCAGTGACGAATAGACAGTGTTTCGAGCGAAGAGGAAACAGTGGACAGAAGCTCTTGCAGGGTGGTCATCGAGAGCCAACCCGGTTGGTTCGGCGCTCGGACGCGAATGATTTCTAGCTTTCGTAAGGGTGGGAAGGTGGGGTAAGGGTCCAGCTGAGCGAGCAGTTCGCAGCAGTGAAGTAGCAACGTCTGAAGTAATGGAAAAGCAGCGACAATGTCTGCCCAGTCAGTGAACCATGGCGATTTGAGAACTAGAGTATGCAGCGTGAATCGCTGCTGCATGCTCACAAAGCAATGATTAAAAAGACCAAAACCATTAGTACCCTCGTTTTCGAGCGCCAAAAGATGTACGGAAGGAGAAGATTGGATCACGAGCATCAGTTGTTGCAGGACCACTTCGGTATTGATGCCACCTCCTAATATGCTCGTTGTCATGCCGGTAATAATATTCACATCTCGTATATTGTTGTCGGGGAAATGTAAGAACTCTGACAGCCGATGGCGAAGATAATGAGCTGTCCACAATCTCTCCAAACGAACGCAGACTCTTTTGGCGGCAAGTATACAAGTCGGAGGGAGAACGTTGGCCAAAGGCTCCACAGTAAGTTCTTTGGGGACCTGGATAGATATTGTCTCGAAAAGAAAAGGGATGACGAGCGACCGCAACCGTCTGGAAACAAGGCTAAAAGCGAGGAGGTCGGATGTCGAGCCAGCAATCCTGGAAAAGTACAGGTGCTCCACAACATGCAACTGCAGTTCCGGTGGGAGGTCTCCAAGTCTAAAGCAGGTAGATTGGGTGTCCGTCCGTTTAAGGCGACTATTCACTGCGCATGCATTTCTGATCAATAATGGTTCATGCACAGAGATAACGCTTGATGTGCTGAATAAGACTTAATCAAGTTCAAAGCAGTGGCTATGTAGAGATTCCTTTTGAGAACACCGTGTAGGTGTTGCCTTTCTTTATTCCGATGTATAAATGGACAGTCAAATGTATGGATCGCACACTTCATGGCATTCTGAGACGGGCTCCGGAAGTCTTTGTAAGAATGACGTACTTATAATAGACATCACAAAGATTTTCTATTCCACTCCCAATAAAGTCGCCTGGTCTCAATAAACACCAGTTAGACGCAAGTCATGGCAGTTGCTGCGCTTCTCCT